CTAGGGATATTTGCACTATACAAAATTATTCCTGTCTCCTTTCTCGTTGCCAGCAGTAGAATGGCCTGCTCTCGAGTTGGCTCTAGAACATGCTGATCTAAGAAAATGTCTTGGTTGGGGGGGTGTAGAAATCACCAAGAAGAAAACAATCTTTGGAATTTTTAACTATTTGTGATGGTTTTTCTTTTTGTAGCAAAATGCAGATGAGCCTTTGAGAAGCAGAAAGGTGTTTGTGGGTCGCTGCACTGAGGACATGAGTGCTGATGAGCTTCGTCAGTTCTTTTCCCAGTTTGGTGATGTGACTGATGTGTTTATCCCAAAACCATTCCGCGCTTTTGCTTTTGTCACATTTGCTGATGACCAGGTATGCTTTTTTAAGTAAATATTAAGGTATATTTCTTTACCATGTTCTTTAATTTTTTTTTTAATTTAAATGATCAATTGTCTTGCCGATGAGCAGCTTGTTAATGTTTTTGAGAGGAGGCAGGAAATTTTAAAAATCAGAAATTTGCTCATGCAGCTACCTGATGATCAAAGCCTGTAACCACGTTATGACCATTGAGCAGAATTGAATGTGAAAACATGAAATTGAAATTCTGTGGAAGGGTCTAGGCCCAAAACGTCAGCCTTCCTGCTCCTCTGATGCTGCTTAGCCTGCTGTGTTCATCCAGCTCTACACCTTGTTATCGTAGTATAAAGATGGTTATTTTCACTTCCCTGCTAACTTACTTGCCTCCTGCTGTCCCAAAGGCATAGGCACCTTACTGGGACAGGCAGTAGTTGATTGCCGTTAAGACTCCCTAAAGTGGGGTTGGAACCCAGAGAGGGACTGCAGGCTGAGATATTGGGGCATGAGCTTCAAAACAGCAGTGGCTTCTGTGGAGATCTTGAGTTAGTTAACAGTTGTCTCCACAATTTCAACAGACAGGTGACCCCTTTTGCAGATTCATGACCGTGCCCCCTCTCTGGTCTCACTTGGGGGGTCATGACAGTTTTTGTGAAGTGGGGTCACTGTAGGGAAAGGTTTGAGAAGGACTTCTGTAGAACCACTCCGAGAGAATGCACGATATGTGTATTGACAAATTATTCAAAGTGCAAAATAGTCGTCTCCCACAATCCAATGTTGCTGGTTTAAAATTGGGAATAAACCCCTAAAGAGGGCCAAACCTGGCTTCTGGTATCCCCGTGACTGTTCCTTATCAATCTCTCTTCTCCAGCCTTGGTGAAAGATGACTTGTGTTCACTCATTGCTTTCCAACAGTTCAGTCATGTTGGAAATTGATGTCAGTTGGTAGATAATCTTGATCTTACAAGCTATCTTGCCAAACATTGCATTAACATTAAAGTGTCTCACTAGAATTTCAATAAGTAAAATGGAATGAAATTTTGAGGATATTCTCTTTAGGATTAACCAATTTGAGGTTTAGGAACATGCCTAATTACTGAGCAAATTTTGAGCTGTGAACAATAATGGCAGTCATGGTAATGGGACATATTGGCTTTATTTCACTTTATTCCACTTTATACCTTCACTTTTGGTATGATGCTGTGATGATTAACCATACATTGTAATAATTTGCCTTTTACTCCAGCTTGTCTAATTAAATTGAAACTGATTGCTTGACATAAGTACATGAAGACTGCAACATGCCAGAGAGTGAATGTTCTTTTTAGGTTATTGCTTACTAATTAGTACTTTGATTTGCACATTGATTTTATTTTTTTCCCCACAGGTTGCCCAATCTCTCTGTGGTGAAGATCTGATCATTAAGGGGGTCAGCGTGCACATTTCCAATGCAGAGCCTAAGCATTTGAATGCTAGACAGCAGCTAGATAGAGGACGATACAGTATCAACACAGCAGGCTTTGGCAATCAGGGTGGGTTTGGTAACAGCAGAGGTGGTGGGGGAGGATTAGGTGGCAGTCCAAACAGTAATATGAGTGGAGGTGGAATGAATTTTGGGGCTTTTAGCATCAACCCAGCAATGATGGCTGCAGCCCAAGCAGCCTTACAAAGCAGTTGGGGAATGATGGGAATGCTTGCCAGTCAGCAGAACCAATCTGGTGCGGGAGGGGCAAACCCACAACCAAATCAGGGAAACGTACCAAGGGAGCAGAACCAGCCATTTGGAACCAACAATAATTCATACAGCTCAAATTCTGGTGCGTTAGGGTGGGGATCAGCATCCAACTCGGGTGGTCCTGGATTTGGCTCTGGTTTTGGATCTAGCATGGAGTCCAAATCATCAGGGTGGGGAATGTAAAATGAGTTCTGGTGTTTAGCAAATGAGCAGACAGGAGTTTAGAATTCTAATAATGGTAAGTAAAATAGTTTTTCCATGGCATTTTTTTCTTGCTGCATAATTGAAAATTTTTTTAAACGTGGTTGTGTTTCGTGATGTCGTTCAAGACACTGACAGTAAGGTGAATTTTGAAAGCGACTGTATTGAGGAATGGAACTTGCAATAGGTGCTCTCCCTGGCTCATTGCAGTATGCAAATCTTGTCTTGAGTTTAAATCTTTAATATGCTTTATAATCTGTGTGCACATTGTTATTCCTTCTCCGCATGTTCCGGGATTCTTAGTAAAGTAAGACACATTGAATCGAACAATGTGGGTAACTTCAGATTTTTCATCACTGCATTATGATGCAATGGTTTCAATTATAAATTGCCAGCATGTTCTTAAGTCAGATGCAACTTAAGCTCAAATGCATGAGAATATTTCTACTTTATCTTCATATAGTAAACGCTGCATTCTTAAAAGTTACCTTTTCACTGAGTAAACTAGATTTTCTCCTTACTGTGCAAGCTAGTTTTCTGCAAGACCATATCTTGTTTTCTAACCAGGTTATATTGTATTTCGAAATACTGCACAGTGAACTGAGAAAATATTTAGTTTTTCAAATAATTGTAATAAGACCTGATAGTATGTAGACTAAATAACTTCATTGGTACCTTGTAAATCCCATCCTGTTAATGACTGGTTCATTCAGATGCTGCACTGAGTATAATTATTCTAAAATTGATCAGCTTAATATTGTTCTTTATCATTACTTCTGAATGCTGCTAAAGACTAGCGTTCAGTCTCTGGCACTTTCTGGCTTTTTTTTCCCTGTTCTGGCCTGAAGTAATTTAAAACCACCTCATTTATCTACATAGTACAGTGAAGCAGAGAGGTCGAGGTTAAGACATTCCATGAAATATTGTTAGGAACTAGACTTGTGTGACCCTTTTCAGAATTTTGCAACTGTTTATTGTGCTTTTTTTCCATTATGGAGCTATTTTGTTTTTCATCATTCCATATTTGGAATGGAACTCATGCTATCTAAGACACATTTCTGGCACAGTAAAAGGACTAAGGGAATTTGCCTGTTTGTTTGTTTAGAATAGCAATTTTTGACCCTTAAAGCTTACAAGTAGTTGAACCTTTGTCTGAGACTCCTGGTTTACCTTCCAGTTTGGAGGATTTGGTTATTATCTTCTTATTTCACTTGCCTGTACTGTTTTTATTCTGTACTTCACAATGATGAAAGTACCACTTCCAGGATACCTTTTTTTTATTCCTGATATGATAAGAAGGAGCATTCCATTTAGAGTAAAATATTACTCTGCTTGACTGTAAATCTCTTGATCTGTCTTACATATTTAGTATCATAAACTTAATAGCTATCTTAAATAGATAATAAAAAACATTCTTTGCCTAGTAACATGAATGGTTATGGCCAAATGTTTTTTGATTTAATCATCTCTAATATGATCATTTAGATTGAGATTTACTGATTGCATCTATCAAATACCAACAAGCTCCATTTGCAATATGAAAGCAGTATGAAAAACCTGAAAATACCCTAGTTGAAGATATCTTTAGTTATTCTGTTGTGCTCGTTTAGTGAGCTGCTAGCATTTCTGTCTACATTGCCCTTTGCCCATGAATGCTGTTAGTTAACCACATCAATACCTAGCAGTGTATCCACGTGCACTTGGTTAGGCTGTTTCATCCACATTCTATCCATCTTAAAATTAATGAACTACTCCCATATTATAGTCCAAGTTTATTTGAAAACACAAGCTTTCAGAGCCTCAGTCCTCTTTCAGATGTTAGTGAGAGAGGTAGTATCAGACACAGAATTTATAAGTAAAAGATTAAAGGCTCACAATCATTGAGGATGTACAAAACAAACCTAAGATGCTGTTAAATCTTTAATTAGTTAGATGATTTTAATTTGATTAATATGTGTATGTAAATCCCCGAATCCCCCTCCAGTCAATGGTCCTGAGAGAACTACAGGTTTTCAGTGTAAAGAAGAGGTGAAGTTTTTGGTCCGATAATGCATGTAAGGTGTGAGACCTTGTTTAGAATATGTTTTATTTTGGAGTCAGACTAGTTTTATTTCTAAAGTAGGAATTTATAAAACACCATATTGACTATCCATAAATTGTGTGCTTTTTGAACAAAATAAACATATCTGCAAATATAGATTCATCTTGCGTGAGTGAGAGAGAGGGGAAAGTGTGTGTGTTGTGGAGGGGAGTCACACACTTGTCCCCCCCCCTCTCTCTCTCATCCACATGTGAATCTATGGGGTGAATTTATATTTGCTTGTTCAAGAAGCTCACTATATACAGTCAATGTGGCATTTTATAAATTCCTCCTTTAGAAATAAAACCAGTCTCACTCCAAACTGAAATAAAACTGATTCTAAATAAGGCCTCACATCTAACATGCATTGTCTGACCTAAAATGTCTTTTTTTTTACACTGATAAAACCTTTAGCTCTCTCAGGACTATGACTTGAAAAGAATTCAGGGATTTACATACACATTAATTAAAGCCACCTAACCAATTAAAGATTTAATAGCAACTTAGGTTTGTTTAGTACACACTCATCAATATTGTGAACCTTCTGATCTTTTACTTATAAATTCTGATACTATTTCACTCACTAACACCTGAAGAAGGACTGAGGCTCTTGAAAGCTTGTCTGTTTGAAATCACCTGTTGTACTATAACCTAGTGTCGTGTGTTTTATGACATTTTGTCCACCCCAGTCCAACACCAGCACCTCCACATCATACTCCCACAGTATCAGCTATGAGAAAGATGTATGTCAGTGATGCCATGACAGGTAAATACAGCCTGACAATGAATTGAAAGCCGTATTGTGGTGCAGAAACTTTTATATAAATAGTTTGCAAAATCTTTAAGATGGTTAGAACATACTTAATGGTGTATTGTGTAGATTTTTCAAAAAATTGAAATATCTTTTTAAGGAAGTGGCCTGGATCACCAAGCATGAACACCTGCATACTGTATAGAAAATGCTTTCTGTAAACCATCTCTCTGCATTGCTTCAAGCTACATGGAGTTGCAGGTTCTATTCAAAGGGACCACGGTGGGTGTTCCATTTTTGTCCTCTACTGTTCTTTTCAAGGATTCGTTTATCAGCGCTGTGAAACGAAATGATGTGCACAGAGCTGTGGTGACTTGATTTGAAGCCTGGTGTGGGATTGATGCTTATGGTGTTGCCAACGAATGAGAGAGCTAGTATGAGCGAGGAAGGAGAGAGCGCGTGCAGAGACCTGGTGGTGCATATTGAATTTTTAAACATGGCAAGATGTGGCTCTCAATCCCTTTGGCATGGTGAGAGAATGCAGAGGAGAAGTGGGATACAGTACGAATGGTTTTTCTTTTCTTGCGTTCACAAAGGACTGTCCGTGACTGAGGGGGGGGGAAAGGACTGTAGTGTGGTGATATTTGCTTGTAACTTGAGTAATTGGAAACTGTTGGATGTGTTCAGTGAAATGAATATCTCTAGGGGTTGAAACCCAGGAACATTTGGGCTCCACAAATTACAAAAATTGTGTTAAATTTTCTTACTTGGTTTTAAGTTTCTTAAAGATAAGAACTAAGTATTTGAAAAGTCTGATTTCATAAAAGTTATTCTAAATCCTACTTCTGTGACTTTTTTTAGAAAAAGAACATCGTGTCCATAAGGAATTGGTAACTCGAATAAATTGCAGGCTGATTTATAAAATTGGACCGACTGAGTTTAGTTTCAACCCCTGAATATTTTTTGTATCTTCCTTTCCCCTTCCCTTCCTGTTATTTGTGTGTGCCGAATGGTTGGTGATGTATTTTTGTATTACTGATATGTAAGTGTGGATAAGTGATATGATGTGGAGTTATGAAGGAACAATATTTTGTGGAGTGTATTGTGGCATTGCTGCCTGCCAGAGATGACTTGGGTGAGCTCCGTGTCCATCTCGAATAAGAGTGTACGATTGTCTGTTTTCTGTGAGTTTATTACGAATGCGGGGCTTAATAAATGATTGCTTGAGTTTAGTGTGTTTTGAAGCCCTTTTTTTTTTAATATCTGAATGTAGGGAATTCTTAATAAAATCTTGACTTGACTAAACATTCTTGTCTCTGCATCCTGACATGAAATGGGAAAAACTACAAAATAGACTTTGGTCAAAATGTATATATAAAATATGCCAAAGCTAGAAATCAGTGTTATGAACTACGTTACATACAGATTTTCCAAGTCTGATGTTGGATTTGCATCTGGAACCATAATTAGTCTCTTGAATGCTGATGATGATGTATTTCAGAAGTCTTAATCAGTAAATTCTGTTTCTAGGTACTGTCACAAGGGTATTATGTAATGGTTCCTAATCGCCTGTTTCCACCTGAAAACTAAATGAAGCAGTCCAGTTTCTCCCTATCTGGTTTACTTTTCCATGCTCGGATGCAATTTCTATGGTGCTGACAACCCTCTGATATCTCACCCAATAGGGTGAGCTATTCTCTCCTGTCTGGGCTATATCACTGTGGGCTGAAGAGTTGGGCTAAAGACATTCTGTGCATCACAGCTTGGGCTAATTTTGGTGTTTCTGCCACTGCTTTAATATGCATTCCTGGATTAACTTGTTTCCAGGCTATGAACTGATCATGGACCTGTTTGTCAGCTTTAAGCACAACATATTTGTTCACATATTGGACCAGACGTAACTTTTTGATAACATCACCATTAATTTTATTTGGTTGAGTGTTCCACGGATTACCAGCGCAACAAATCTATTACCAAAGACTAGAGATCAACTAAAAGTGCTGGTTTCTATTAATAGAATGACATGGAGAAGTACAGAGCAGATCATGTGAGATGAATTTAGTTGAAGCTGGAACCTAAAGATGACCTTTTGAGAAGAATGAGTTTGTGTTTTATTTGAAGTTGGAATACTGTTTTCTGGATTGGTATTCCAAATACTAGTCTATGGGGTTAATGTAGTGATTAGTGTCCTTGGGATACTTAAATAAGAAAGCTGACAGGAATGATCAGTATTGCTATTCCACCACTATCATTGACTGACTAGTTATAAAATTAGTAACAGGAATGTGCTAACTGATATTAGACAAGAGGAAGTGGTCAAATTAGTGCTGATTGACTTAACATTGAAGGTGTGACAACTTGCCAGTATTTGTCAATAATCTTCATGTGATCATTTGCATCGAATTATGGAAGACTAATGGTACCTGTGCAGGTTAGCAAAATGCTGGAGGAAAAGCAATTGGAGAAAAATTACTAAAAGAAGTATCATCTCTAAATTTAAATGTAGGCATTTGTGCATTGCAGTTATGCACTTGTGTATGTTTCTGATATTTTGACAATGGCAAGGTATTAAGTTAGCATTCCTTTAAAATTTAAGTGCCAAAACTGTAACTCTATAAAGGAAGCAATTACCAATGTAAACTTCATAGTATTTGGAAGCTTTGTCCTGATCATTTAATTACAGGAATCTATTCATTGTCCAAATAAATTGACATTCCAAAACCAAAGAAATCTTGAATTCATAGGATGAGATGTCTGTTTTGCTTCCAACTGGCACTAATTAAAGAACAGTGGTGTCCTGGCCAAATCGTCCTTCACTGTATGCCATTGAAATGAACTAGCTGCTTAACTGTTCTATTTATGGGACCTTGCCATGCACAGTGACTGCATTCTGCGGCTTTGTATTGAAAGAATTAATTTGCTGTGACGTTTGGCACATTAAGGAATGAAATAAACTTGTATGTAAGTGACTTTGTTACAAGGTATTCTACATAGTGGAGAATGTTGAAAGCTGTCTCCCTGTCCAGCCTTGTGCATGTTTTGGTGTTAGTGTTCTAGGCATATATAATTATAGGTGTGAAGCTTCTCAATTTAAGAATTGCCATTCATAAAATAATTCACTTATAGCAATGTCTCCTACCACAGTGCTCAAAATAACTTGTATGAATACTGAGATGTAATGTGTCTTGGGCATTTTAAAACCCAGTGAGGCCACTTAAAATACCACTGAGGAAACTAGGAGTAGTCTGTAAAACTTTATTTTCATTATTGTTGAAATACAAGAGGGAACTTAGGTTTCTTTCAGCCCAAGAAACCTAATCACATTTGTATGTACTTGTCAAAGCCTGCCTGACCACAACCCTCAAACCCCCTGCCCCTTAGTAAAATTGCTGTCTTCAACAAACCATACTGATTCTGGCACAAGTGTTTTTTTTTCTTCACCTATGTTACAAGTATCAGTTGTAGGAAGCACACTGTCATGGTTTATTTTCCCTGTTATGCATTAGGCTATGTAATTCCTAGTACATGTACACATATTTTAAGGAACCTTTTTGTCTGACAGCTTTTGCAACAAAATATTCTGCCCTGAAAGCCTTACACTGTTATTTCTTTAATAAAATAGGAAAAAATAAAGCCTCCGCATGATATCCTTCATGGATAATTGCATTTTCTGAAATGATTTCAACTGCAGACAAACACTTCCCACAACTACTGCACCATTTGAAATGGACATCTACAATATGCAGCAAAAAAAGGACTCCATTAATGCAAAGAAGTGCTCTGCCCGCAAAAACTACATATTAGAAATTGTATGGGAATTTCTTCCTGCTGTAAATCTACCCACAGATGCCTTGTTCCTTTCACTTCACTACAAAAGAATGTAAAAAATAAATGTTTTTCATGGTTCTGTTTATTTACCTTCTTTTTGAGACTGATAATTTGCTATCTGCTATAATGTTTCCTCTAGGGCGAAGAGGATAGTGGGCTTACATGACTTTTCATCGACTGCTGTCTTTGCAGCTTTGTGATTGTCCAGTTGTGGGCTCTCCCTGACCTGGCCCCAGTGAGATTTGAAAATCTAAAAGAAGTGCTCTCTTCAGTCTATGGCCAACGACCTGCAAAACTTGCAAATTGTGTATTAGTTTCTAGTAGTGCTTCAAATAACTTCCCCTGAAGTCAAAGCAGTACATTTGGACATCATTCTCCAAAAATATAAAATAGTCTTGTGATAATTGGGCAGAACTATTTCACCAATAGATAACCCAATGTAAAATTTGGTATTTTAGTGGTTCAGTATGTCAGAAATGCTGTTTTAATCAAACAGCTATTGAGAATGGATAATGTCACCGGAGACTTCGTGAGCAATTTTGTCTGAAGACCCAACATGTGGGCCAAACCTGGCTGTGGTTATTTGAGGTAAGGTTCTTTGGGCTTATCCTACCTGCTCGGTATGAGAGAGAAATATTCAAACACATCTCCAGTATGAATATTTGCATGTGTTGTGAATGTTTAAACTTGATAAATTAGTTCTGTGGTTTTATACTTCATAAACCTATAATTTTGCTGGTAATTGTTCGCACATACACATTATATTGCTGATGCTGCCTCATGTTGATTTTATCATTTTGTTAAACTTTAGATTTTCTGACAAGAATGTTCTTTCTAATTTTTGCAGGCAGCATTTGCTATCGTGATAAAGTATTTGTTAGCCTTTGCATAACCGAATCTTGCATTTTTATCATTACTATTAAGCTGTTGTATGGTACAAATCTTGATATTTGAGTTTCTGTATTCTTTCAAATGTTAGATTATCGTCAACTAATTGAGTTACCATCTTGAGTACCATTAGATCTGTGAAAACTGCTGCCCCTTATTCAGAAGTGACTTGTTTTTTTTTATGGTTTTTGGCAAAACCAAAGTTACTGTTTTGTCCAGTCAGTTTGGCAGAACAGTTACATATCTGGTTTACTTGGCCAGTCAAACTTGATTTTTAAAAAATCAATTCCATAATGTATTTAGAGGAGAGCGTTAACCTTTAATTTGGAATTTCATTCTGAACGAGTGGTTTCTAAATTGGGCATTGCTTGTTTTTGGACCATAAATACAGTCAAACGTATGTTTGCCTGCAGAAGGTGAAACCAGTGTTGGGAAGTTCAGTGACTAAATTGAGAGTTTCAAAACATCTGTCCACATTTTGCAGCTTCATACAAAGTTAACATTGTCTAATGAAGAGATAATTGAAGCCAACCTGGTCTGCCCTTTGCAACCAAGGGAGAGTTAGTTACCAGAGAGAGACCTTTTAGAAGTGTATGGAGATAAGCTTTCCACTGAACTGGAAATAGAATATTGTGTCCCCTTCCAGTTAAGGAAATACTATAAATATTTAATGTTTTTAGCCTTATTTTCTTCATAGCTGGGAGCTGTTAACCACATCCTATTTGCTGCACTCGTGTATGTAAATAAATTAACAAGTTATAATGTGAAAGCTTTTTAATTCATCGTTATCTCACCCCTCAAATGTTCTTCCCAAACATTCAGTGGGTTTGTTGTATGTTTGAGAAAACAGAATTCGCCTGTATCAAGTTGCTTTTCTCACTTATCACCACACACTGCTGTGCCACACACTTACCACTTATTTACCTTTATAGTCTTGTGATTGCATTTACCCTCCTGTTGTATAATGTGTTTGATCTTGTTCCTTCCCAAGATGTGAGCAATCAACCTCACTGCATGTTTTCTATCTTTTGATATTGAGATTTTTAAATATGAATATATCTGGAATTGACTCTTCCTCGAGCATTGTTTTTGAAGTAAATGAAAGTCATTTCACTGTATTTTGTACTTTCTAATGTTTTAGATTGGTGAGCTGCCATGGAAAATCCAATTCTTGCCAGTGCGTGAATGAAACATGTCTATAGAGTATTACATTGGGAGTCAGTTGAGTTCCTATTCAGAAATTCTTGTACCCTGTTTTTAACCTGAGAGATGTTCCCCATTTAGCTATCACCATAACTTGTTCAAAGGCCTATCTTTAGGCATTATTCATAGAAAATGTCAGCTCACCAACCAAAGGGATAATTTAGCCAGCATCCACTTTTCCACTTGGAAGTAGTCATTGCATAACATTTGTGACTGAAAACATGGGCACATTACTACTGTTATGATATAAAAGAACATTCAATAGATTACGATATGAAGCAGAATTACTTAGCTAATTGCTGTACCCCACCAA